TATATTTGTTTTGTCACATTCACTTGTCTTATAAAGTTTTAAAATTACAGTTGTCTTTCCTATGTTTTTTTTTTAAATCTTTGAACTTTTTCTCCTAGCCATATGTAATACATACATCACCTTACACTGATTAAAGCTAGACCCTTTGAGGCCCTTTCACACATAGTATTTCAATGAAACAATGTCTAATCAGGACGCTGATGAAAAAGATATTTACTTTGTGGTGCTGTTTTTTAAAATTCTTTATTTGATGTCATATTTTTAAGAGAGAGAGAGAATTTTTTAATATTTATTTTTCAGTTTTCAGTGGACACAACATCTTTATTTTATTTTATGTGGTGCTGAGGATCGAACCCAGTGCCCAGCACATGCCAGACGAGTGCGTTACCACTTGAGACACATCCCCAGCCCTTGATATCATATTTTATACCAAATACAAAATGCTACATTTACCACATATAGATGACATACACATTTATGTTCTTTCCTACACTGGCACATGCTGATACTTGATAATGGGCCTCATTCAGTGCAATATCTGCACTTTGCCCCTCTGATGCCACAGTCAGATGTCTCCCTTTAAACCACAAGTCAAGTGGTTTGTCACTTGGCCTTATCACTTCCTTCATGTCTGCTTTCATAGCATTATATCAAAGAGGCCTTCCCTGGCCACCCTATCTAAAATGGAACCATTCTAAGTCTGTCACTCACTATCTCTTCTGCCTTGCTTATTTTTCTTTATAGCACTTGATGCAGCCTCCATGTTTATTTCTTTATATTTTGTTCTTCCTAAATTTAACTTCTTGGAGAGCAGGTATTCATGTCTTGTTCTACTATATCCTAGCACCAAGACGATGGTACACAACATATAGTAGGTACTCAATAAACATTTTTTTTCATTTGTCAGAACAAATCTTTACAAAACAACCTTCCTTCTTTCTGTGCTGCTGCCAGTAAAGAGGCTGCCTGAGGAGGCTCTCCTGGATCAGGCTTAATAAGGAGGTGAGGTTCTAGATGGACATCCTCAAAGCCACTCAGCTCCCCCAGTTCAGCATAGATATGCAGCTTTTCCTCCAAATATGTGCAAATTTGCTGGTCTTGATTACTGAGTATTTCTGTGGAATAGAATTTACCATAGAAGTTTATCACTACCATGAATACAACAAATTATATACAAATTCAAGTTAGGAGATAAAGATGCTACTTAGTTAGTGAGTTGTGTGATCTAAAAGGTAAAGCTAATTCCATTGGGTATGACAGACCCAGGTTCAAATCTTGCTTCTTCTACTTAGTGACTGTGGCCCCCAGAAATTGACTTATCAACACTCTCAGCTTCCTCTGCACTTCATTCCCCTATTTCCAGAAAACCCTGCAAAGTTCTTTTTTGTTTATGCAGGCTGTTTCCTATTAAGACTAGACACCCTGCTCAGGAATAAAAATTGAGGCAGCCCTGTCCAGAATGAGCGAATGCCCACAGGGGAAAACAACACAAATAGACATACAAATAAACACAAATAGACTGAAACTCCTAAGTCCTCAGCCAGTCATGGTCAAAACCAAGCATGCTGGCTTATTTCTTTGTTTCTAAACATCCAATTTCTGTGACCACCCTTGCATGCATCCTTCTCTCCTGATTTCACTATGTTACAAAATTCTTAAACCTAAGAAACCTTAACCAAAATCTAATCCAGGAGTTCTCAGCCCTCTGTGCTCCTCAAGATCACCTGGGGGAGTTTAAAAATACTCAGGTCTACTCTGCACACCTCACTGATTCTGAGTCAGTTTGTTGAGGATGAGCAATCTCCTCAAGTGAGCTAATCTTACTTTACAGATTTGCATTTGATGGCCAGACCTATTGGGTTCCTTGTGCAGTCATAAAACTACAATATGACAGTGTTGGACCTAAAATTAAACCATCAGGAAGCAGTTCCAATATTCATCAATACCACACTGCCCAGTTACTGTTTCATGCATGCATTTCTGTGTGTTTTAATCATTAAGGTAAAAGAAGGAGCTTGGCTAGTATCAGGATGTTTTCCTGGAAGATGGTCAGTGCAAGCCTCAGAAACACACAGTTAACCTTCCATTCATGACACCAGGGCTTTCCCAATACCCAACTAGCACACCATGACCAGGGAGCCAGAAGGGCCCACACCATACCTTGACATTGCTGAATTCTGGCCACTCTGGCTTCAGCTTTCCACTTCTCTTCATCGGATTCACTTGTCCTTCCCCCTTCTTCTTCTGGGCAACTTTAAGAGACAATAGTCAAGGAACACAACTGAAACTAAATCCAAGTATGTGTAGGATCATTAGGAAAACATGGAAACTTGGTAATAAAATTAATTTATAAAAGCAAAAAAATCAGCATAAAGAGAATTAGTGATGCTCCCTGGCCAAGAGCTTGGTTTTCTTGAGAGAAAAGGACTGTGAAAAATATAACATGATTCTCAAAGTCAGCAGTGTAGGATGATTCAAATATTCCAACACACACACACACACACACACACACACACACACACACCCAACACCCATGTTTGGTACAAATAAGATAATATTTTTTTTATTTTTTACAACATTTGGGTGTTTTAACAGGTGAGAGTAAAAGCATTGGGGGGTGGAATTAGGGAGCCATACTGAGTGGATACAGTGGAGATAGAGAAATTTTACATAATAGTAAAATCCAACTAATCAAATTACCATTAAGAGTGATGTCTTGCACCCACATTTATACAAACTGTCCTTGAGTACCCAAGAGAAATAGATTGATTTAGAACCTTTAGTTCCACTAATCTAAAAACATTTATTGAATGATTCCTCAATACAAGGCACCCAGAGGTATGCATGACATGTCCCTGCCCTCAAGGAGCTTCCAATCTGATGAAATAAGCACATATATATGTACATACATGTAAAAGATAAGATCCACAAGCACCAGATAAATGCCTTAGAGAGCAAATGCTAAGTCTTCATGAATCAGGTGAGGACAGAAGCTGTACCACAGTGCACAGGCAGAGGGAAGGGGAGGGCACTGCATGCAAAGAGGAGTGTGGACTACAGACCTGCAGGTGATGCGCTGTCACTATCACAGGCAGGTGCAGGGGCAGGGAGGAGACCATTCTGGCTGAAGCAGCATTTTCATGCAGGGGAGACACGGTTTTAATATATTTTCCCAATTGAACAAGCACATTCCATGGACCAAAGACAGAAGGCAATGTTACCTTTCTACTGCCTGTTGGATCCACCTCATCCAGTTATTCCGTTCCTCCTTGGAATTGGTGTGATTTTCATACATCTCGGGACCAGTTGATAAAGCACTGATTAGAAACATTCCTCTCTCCTCATTAGCAACTTCTCTAGCAGTAAGCTTCTGAAGGGAAATAACGGATGGCTTCTAATCCCTACATAAAATAGGAGGATGTGCAGATGAACCCGTGTCGATTCTAAGGGTCACGCTGAACACATGAGCCATGGAAACACAGGACTAGGGAAACCTTTATTTCACTTCCCACTTTTCAAAAGAGCTGAAGAAGTCGATAAGATCTCTAAGGGAGAGGGTATGGAGAAGAAAGAATAGAAAGAAAAGGTTTAGGGGAATGTTTGTGGTTAACAATTAGTGGTTTAAAAAGTCAACTTTTTAAAAAGACAGAGAAAAGTCAGAGAACTCATTTAAAAAATATCAAAATGCTGTGGTCAGGGACGAGGGATTTTTCTATGAGGACATGAGAAAGGAAATAGTCTCTAAAACATGGCAGATGGAGAGGGATGATGGACCTGAAGAGTCCCTTGAATTTGGCAATTAATAGCAATATAGTTTCAGTGATTATTTAATGGGCACAAATCCCCAGATATCAACAACATTGACTATAAAAAAAAGGTAAGAAAGAGAAGGCCAGACCTTACATTCCCCAGATGTCACCAGCCTCTTCTGCTATTGTCCTGTACAACCCAGCAACAGAACTGCTACAGCTCTATCTGTAGGTATCTCTCCTCACCAGCCAAATAAGCCGATTAGTGGACAGTGTGTCTAATTCATCTTTCTGCGCCAGGCACACTGTCTTGCACAGAGCAGGCACACAACAAATAGATTTAACATGATTCCACTGGAGAGAAATAGGAGGAAAGCCTAAAATGTGAAGCCACACTGTGATTCAGCCACCTGTTCTATGGACATTCACTGTAGTCCTTAGATGCCTCACGTGCAGTTCTGGTGACCCAAAGATGAAGACAACCTTGATTGACACTGACTTGGACCAGGAGCTGAAATAACGGCCAAAAGAATGCCTGCCGCTGAGCAGTGTGGGGGTAAAAATGAAAACTTGGCTTTGGTTTGTGGCTCTCGACACTGTTTACAGAGCTGGCTGCAGTATGTGGTTTACTTTCTCCCTCATGGACTGAGTGACATTTTTACCCAAAACATGCTGCTCTGTGCACTGCTGCTGGCTCCTTGGCACTGGCTTGTCTGCCCTCCTGACTCTGCAGTCATCACTGCCAGATCCGGAGTTCTGTGCCAGGGGGGACCTGGAGTACCTCCTCCATGTTTTTTAAAGTAGCATGAAAATATAAGATGGGACAGACAGACAGACAATTGGTCTACCTGGTTCTGTGCTTGGCCTCTGAAAATGGAAGCAAAAGCAATTTTGTGGCAAGCCTTCTTCAATATGGCCTTCTGTAATGAGGAAAGGTCTTCTGAGCAATGTTGTTCTATTACAGCCCTATTACCTGAAGTATCATCTGCCTCCCTTGATTCAATGTACTGTTTCAACTTTCTCAGATTACAAGGTTGATGGTGTCTATATGTAAAAATTCAGAGTGGGTTTAAATTGCTTAAGACATAAGCAAGAGTGAAATCACTTGAGTCAGAGTTATTGGGGGAGGGGCACTGGCAGAGTAAGGTTTTGTTTTGTTTTGTTTTTATTTTTTTGTTTTTGGTGTCAGGTATTGAACCCAAGGGCATTTAACCACTGAGCTACATCTCTAGCACTTTTTATTTTTTATTTTGAGACAGGGTCTCACTAAGTTGCTTAGAGCTTCGCTAAATTGCTGAGTCTGGCTTTGAACCTACGATCCTCCTGCCTCAGCCTCCCAAGCCACTGGGATTACAGGTGCCACCTCACCTGGCATGATAAGATCTTTAAAAAGTGAAGAATAGATAAAGGGATATAAAGTCTCACTCATTAAATAACCTTTAGGCCAGAAGATACCATACCGAGGCAAGCGCATCACTACTCATAGTAATTATGTGAACCACTAAGCTGCAAACAAGAACTCAAATTCCCAGGATAAAAGGCAACATGGCTTCTCTGGAGACAGATATTAAACACTGGTAATGCAAAGATGTTTATTTGTGCCATAGCATTTAAAAAACATTTCTTACAAAATAAGTTGCTAACATTTAAAAACGGAGAGATTCTACCATTAAAAAAAAAACCTCTAGGATTCTGTGTGCTTGGTAAAACAGAACATTGGCAATACTAGGTACATATTCTCATTTAAAAACACTGACTATGGCTGAGTATTGGCTGTGCTAAGCTGGAATGTGTATCACTAGTTGACGACAGTCTCCATCATTATCTGCTGCCTCCGCCACACTGACTCCTTGATGCTGAACTGGGATTCACTCACTTCCATTCCTGCCCAATCCCTATGGACATATGAAGCTGAAGACCAATGATGCAGGGAAAGACAAAAAGGAGCTGCTCCCTTTAGTTCTGTTGTTATATCATATCCACTTTGCACTGATTCTCAACTTATCTATACATTTTGTAGGTTTGGTTCCCACTCATTCCCAGCTGAGTCCTCTTTAAAAACAAACAAACAAACAAACAAACAAAACCATCTGGTAAGGACACTACTCTATCTTCTTACTACTTTCAGATACTTAGCTTCTGGCTGTTTCCCAGTTCATCATGTCTTCTATAACATGCAGCAGGATAAACATCTTAGTACTAATGAAGGTTTTTCTAAAGGGCACAAGGAATGAAGAATCTCTCTTTTTGATCTGAGAGTGAGAATAATTTTCTGAAACATTAGGATGGGAACTAGGAAATGAGGGTATCTGTGTACCCCTAGCTAATGCTTCAATTCTCCAAGATGTTCACTAAAAGAGATTGATGGCGCACGGACAGATATAAGAGATGTCAGACAGATGTAACTAAAAGGTCTATGAGCAAACAGCAGGGTGCACTTGACACTAAGGATAAAATCCTGCTTTCTCTTTTACTCCCTGCTATCACCCTTATGATATGAATGCAGAAACAATATTAGCAACATTTTACTATTGTTCATGGCCAAACACATTTTACCAAAAACTAAGTAGTGGCTGCCTTCATTCTGATATTTGACTAACTGCATTCCAAACTGCCTGTTTAAAGTTAAGTGTGGTCTATGGGTGGTCTATGCAGATCATGTGAGATAAGAGGCCCAGATCCATATCTCAAGTCATACTGTAAGTTGAGCATCATGGCTTGACCTGCATCCATATGCTATATTGCCTAGAAAACAAGATGATCGTCTTCATACTGTATCTAATTCTTGATTAATGTGCCAGTCATTTGGCTTGAAATACCACCCAAGAAGCAGGATTTGCTTCTCTTTCTGGCCTTCAGTTTTGAAGAAATCTCAGTTTCTATAAAGATATGCTGAGATTTTCCTTCTTCCAGCCTGGTTTGAACCATCCCATGGATTAATCAAAACTGTTCCCTTCACTTGCCATTTTTTTCTCCATATTCCTTCAGAATATCCCAGATACCAGAGAGGCAGCTGGAAAAATCAGCAAGTTTTCATGAAAGTTGCAATAGTTACAATGCAAATGCATCAGGGACATGGGGCTTGTTGAAGGCTTCTTGTCATCCTCTGCTTTAGCTCTGTGAAAAACATTTCACCTTTGAACAACTCAGCATGGCTGAGCAGAATGAAGAAGCCTCTCTAGCCAACTGACACATACCAGCAAACACTGCTCCAGCCATCTCACCCGAGAATCTCATCACCACAGACATGCTTCTTTGTTTTCTTGGAACAGCAAGATAGAAACTTCATTGAGCTTTGAATTTTCCAAAACCAGATGGAATAAATGCTATCTGCTAATGTACCAAATAGCATGTCATTCAATGGATAATAGATACATTTTACAGAGCCATCACTGTACTGCCCCTGTCAGTATTGTCTCTTGGATTCTTCTTGTTAACAGAGCCTGATGCTCCATGATGCCCATAAGAAGTAAATGGATGCTATCTTCCTTCTCCACACCATTGTGGACTACATAGATGCTATGTAAGAAATGTGATAAATTGTTGGCTTTCACTAAACCTAATTACAACTCAATAATAAGATTACACATTACAAAGGTAAGTGTTATTCACGACCTTAGTCATCAGAACCGGTTGTAGTAGAAATAAGAAAGAATCTTCTTCAGAATCTTCTTCTTCAGATGTCAGGATGGTGTTCACTTGTTTGGCAGAGGGAACATTATAGTGACAGTTACAAATGGGGCCAGCAAGCAGCACAACAAGGCAATCCCAGTAGGAATGGAAGGAGCAAGATGCTGAAAGTGACCCTTTGTCCCCAGCATTTAACATTTCAGTCATTAGATCTGAGAGAAGGATATAGGGTTTGGGGATAAGAGGAAAGACCGAGATAGACATAACAGAGAAGTACCCGGGGTTGGGGGGCAGGGGGTCTCAGGGAAGTGCCTATTCACTATCTAGTACCAAAGTACTACAATCTTTTCACAATTCAAATAGTTACTAAATCAGCTGTAAAATCACTAATAATAATGGAACTATATGAGGTGCATTTTATTTCACTAAGAATTTCGGGCATTTTTTTCCCCAAGGAAATGCAGAATGAAGTCTTATTAAAAATATGCATCATATAGTCATATACTTACTACCACTACAAAGATGTATTTCTGGTCTTTTTCTTGTAAAAAGCACAGCACATCAGATAGAAGTATAGCTAGGATATCTTCAAAGAAAAAAAAAACATTACTAATGTTAGTGATGCAAATCATATTTCAAATGCCTTTATTAAATATTCTAATTTCATGCTTCCAATTTAAATAAATTGAATAAAAATTAAGTGACTCAGGTTAGTCTAATTATAAAACTTTTATTAAATCTCCAGTATTATGATCATGAAGGATATACAAACAACTTAGTAAAAAGCCAATTTTAAGTGTGCATGTTTGTATGTACAACTATACATATACATACAGAATTTAAATTGCAGATTTCAAAATGGATGGAAAATATCTTACAGAAAGAAAGTTATAATAGACTGGAGCAAGCCCTTACATTTAGGGGAAAACCATGCTCAATTAAAAATGTAAAAAGGGGACTGGGGTTGTGGCTCAGCAGTAGAGCACTCACCTAGCATGTGTGAGGCCCTGAGTTAGATCCTCATCACCACATAAAAATAAATAAATAAAATAAAGGTATTGTGTCCAACTACAACTAAAAAATAAATATTTTTTAAAAATATAAAAAGGCAGCTTCCACATCAACTTATATATGAAAACCTGCTCCTTTGTTTCATGGAGAGTTGAGTGAAGTTTGAGTGTTTAGATTTCTCTTGCAAATTGTTTACAAAAGCCCACCTTCACTGGAACCACTGCACACACAGGCTGACCTGCACAGTGAATCTCTTAAAGGGACAAGGAACAATCAGATCTATGGATAGTGGCTAATGCTTTTTCAATACAACGTTGCAACCTGTCAAACAACAAATCCCATTTCAGACATTAGCTGAACTTCCAACAAAACCTGATCATCCTCATGAGGATAATGACCTTGATTTTAACAATTTAACTAGAATTTAACATTTTCTTCCTCTTGTTGATCACCTGAGAACATTACTACGATGAAGTGTTAAAAACAAGGAGACCAGTCCTGTAGCTCTTATTCCTGGCTGCAAAGCAGACTTACCTGGGGGAACTTTAAAACATCCCTCTGAGCTGGTTTTCATCCCTTCACTGACAAAATCAGAATCTTGGGAGGAGACTTAAGCATCATTGATTTTTTTTAAGCTCCAGGGGTGATTTTAGCGTGTAGCCAGAGTAAAAAAGCCTGGGTCAGGCAAGGTCCTACCTATACGACCTCAAGAATGGAAATCAGCTGGTTTAGAGTCTAACCAGATTAACAGAATTGAGTTAATGCCATGAGCAAAAGGTAGCCTGAGGAAGTACTTACAAAAGGGCCAACAAGCAGGTGGATGTGTGTTACAGTGCTCAATAACAAAATCGATATTCAGAGTTTTCTCACTTGCTCCCTTCACAGTCTGACAGCTTCAGGCTGACGTGGCACACAATGGACCCTACCTGTGTAGGTATGATAATACCTTGCTATCAACACAACTGACAGAATAATATTCCTGTGCCAATGATGAGCAGAACTCTCAGCTCCTTTAATTTTAGACATCACAAAGATGCACATTCATAAAAATACATAGGAAAGTTGTTGGTCGGGACAGCAAATTCCCATCAAAGACATGATCACTGGTCACACTTACCTATTGAACTTCACAACTTGATCTTTCAACTGAAAAATCAAGCGTCTGTGTATGCAGTCCTGCCACTCAGAACCATCCTTCCTCTGAAAACCTGTCTTCTGTTGCCTGAACAACAGGAATGAAGGGAGGAGTGGGTCTGGTGTAGGCACCTTTGAAACGTCCCATGGTGGTTTTCTAGTAAACGAGGCCATCATACAGCAGGGTCCGCTCTGTACTCATCAGGTCCTGCTTTCTAAACACGTGGCCATTTTTCAGCTTTGTGTACATTTTGTTTTCGATCTTACTTAGGATCTCAAGCCATTTTTGTTTTTTCTCATATTTGTTGACTTTCAGACCCATGGCTGCAATCATGTCTTCAATTAAGCAAAGAGCTTTGCATAAGTCTTTATGTTCTTCAGTTCTTTCTGCATGGGAAAAAGAGAGAAAGAACACCATACAATAAGCCACTGAAAGAATACCATCCAATAAGAGCACTAGAAAAGAAAGGGTTTTTTTTCCTTTAGTTATTAAATATAGTTATATCCAAATAGCAAAAACTCCATGGGAAAAGTGCTGGATTAAATTCAAATACTACATTATCACTCTGCACTTCCCACTCCCCAAAAAGAAACATTAAAATACTTGATTATAAAAGATTTGCATTATTAAATATGTTTTTGGGGACAATAAGATAGCTGAGTTCTATCCCCTGTAGTAGGAAAATTGTCACAGCCAATTCAGGGCTTCCTTACACCTTCCTAGACACAGCAATCCAGTAATTACTGCACCAAGTTTCTAAGAACTGAAGCCATCCGTGGCATCTAGTCTCCATCCTCTTACAAACTCAGCCATGGGTAACCTGAGTGAACTTCAGATTTATTTGCCTTCCTGGATCCCTTCTTCCATAAAAAAATAACATTCAAAACTGTGTTTTCCAGCCATGTTGGCATACCTATGAACATTATAATTACAATATTTTCTTTGAGGTGGATGTGTGTTACAGTGCTCAATAACAAAGATGACGTTCAGAGTTTTCTCACTTGCTATGAAATAAATTAATCTATTTTTTAAGAGCTCCAAACAGTGCTTAATAGGCAAGTCAGTCATGCTCATGTCACCAGAGCAAATGATTATCAATTCCAGTAGTTACACTTTCAACCGCTGGCCACATGCTCTCATTTCTGTATCACCTTAAGAAAGTACTCTGGAGGAGTTTCTGAAATAGCCTCCTGAAGATGCACAGAAATGAAGTGAGCTCTTTTCTGTATTTGATGATAAGGTCACCTAAATGATGTTTATGAGGTGACTGGAACTCAAGGGCTAAAGAGAAGATGACAAAAGAAAAACTGAGAGAGAAACCAAAGACTCTCTAGAGGCTAGAACTGAAGAAATATATCTTAGAATGAGCAGTCAGTGGAGAATGGGAATCAACCCTCAAAAGGGTCTAAATATTTCCAGGATATAAACATCTTCATAGATTTGGGAGGGTCTGATCAGAAAACCTCAAGGAGCAGATCCTGATGCCCATCTGTACAAGGAAGATTTTCTCTCTCGCTGCCTGTCAAAGAACACACCTTACTTCTTGACCTGCACATAGCCCTTCCTCCACGAAAGGTTCTAATTTCTTAAAAGCCTGTTTTACTACTAGAAAAGCTAAGTAGAGAAAATCAGAGTTGAGTTACAAGGTCAAGGAAAGGTCAAGAAGAGGCTCTATTTTGACAAATTACTTCTTGCAAAGCTTAGTTACCCAAAGAGAACAGCATGGGCTTCCCTGGGAATCCTGTTAAAAATGCTTGCTTTGGGCTCTGCTCCAGACCTACTCATTCAGAATCTGCACCTAAACAAGGTTTCCAGGTAAAGGATATGGCTAATATAGTTTGAGAAACACTGCTGTAACAGAGTCATGGAAACTAATGTCCTCAGAAGCTCAGGGAGTGACTGACCATTGGTAAGGTCTGACCTGAGAAGGCTTCCATTTGGTCACCATGCCACTATGCCAGAAGGGCCATAACTTACAGCTTCTAACATACATTAATTTATTCATTCTACCAGAAATTTGGTGTGGGATGATTCTTGGAGTAACACTAGTTGATTACCATGATCTGACAGATTTTAGTTCTCATACTACTATAGTAAACTTAAGAGAGAATATATAAACTAAATAGCCTTAATTTTGCTTTCATTCCTTTACTGAGAACAAAATTTATGAGGCTTATCTTTTTGTATTATTTTTATATTTTTTGTACATTAAATTATAGAAAGTAATAACAATGAGACATAAGAAACAAACTATAATTTTTGCCTGGACTTAGTTCTAAATGTGACTGATAAAATGCAAAGAATAAATGATGTATGTCTGCTCACCTAGACCTCTTCCAAAGAGAAAAGTTGAGTTTTATAGAGTGGGCATTTAAGATCTCATTACCATTTCAATTGTTTCTAAGTCAATTGGTAATAATAATAAAGGCTATAACAACAGGTTCCCTTTATTGAGCACTTTGCTTTTGCCAGGTTCTTTCTGCTGGGCACTTTCCCAGACAATCTCACTTAGTACTCACAACAATTCCATATGGCTAAGATGATCATTCTCAGAGCACACTGCAGAACCTATAACAGAATGGTTTCAACTTGGTGCCAGACTCAGGCTGGTCAAGCAGTAGAATGCTGCAGGGGCCAGTGCAGTGAAACCCCCAGGGTGGGACCCAGGGCTGGGATATAAGCAGATCCAAACACTTAGCTTATAACTATGCATTTCCCTACACTCCCCTGGTGTCCTTATTTCTTCCTAACCAGCCCAGCCTCCAGGCATGTCCATTAAATGTATATTTTTGCTTCCCTCATCCTTTTGTCTTGCTCACCCTTGCAAAACCCAGACCCAGTAGGCTCTTCTGTACTTCACCAAGCTGAAAGAGAAACAGAGACATGGTCTGCATTCAGTGCAGCCCCAGCTCAGTCCACAACACTCCATCACCCCATGACCACAACACTCCATCACTCCATTTCCATCACCCCAGAAATGGAGCCATATGCACTCATTCTCTGGGTCTGTACTGACAGAGATTCTTGGCTGGGCCAAGTAGTAGTCATGTCCCTTAACTCTCCTCTATGCTCCTCTGTGCACTTCAATATCAAATCCAGACTGAGAAGATCTCCAAATCTGATCAGGCTCCTCAGCCTCTGCCATGCCCAGGTAACATCTCTGATCACCTAGGTCTATCTTCATAGAATCTTTGGTTGGTTGACCCATAATACCTCTATCTCCTCTTAATTCATTTTCTATCCACTGTTCCCCAACCTGCTTTTTGACTCTCTGTCCATTTGTGTTTGTTGTATGCACAGATTAGCCTAATCTCTTTTTCCCATGTGTAGTGGTATTACATTATAGTGGTCCCTATACCTAGTGCATCAACTGATCAGGAGTAAAGTCTTTTCTGCCATGTTTTAAGATGTGTTGTGGAATTGTTTCTTTACTTAACATCTCAGTCTTTCCTACACATTCCCCCATACTCTGGAATTTCAACATCCTCTTTAGCCTAACTTCTTCACTGATGGTGTCCTCTCACTCTTTCTTGAGCTACCCTGGTAGCTGTATCTTTTCCTTCAGAATACAACATATTGTGAGGCTCCTCGTCTAAAAGCCAATAGTCATGGCACCCCACTTGCACCTTATTCCTGTACTTTTCTATCAGAAAATTGTCTGGAGATGGTTACCTACATGAGCTTATCTTCTCATAGCCCTCCCTTGATGTTGGCTTTGTTCAAGCTGCAGTCTCTGGGCCTGTATTTTCTGGGACAATGGTCCCCTTCTCCCATCTGCACCTGCTTAGCTGATGGTCACTTTGGGCTAACCCCTCCTCACTGGCTCTTCTCTCTCTAATCCATGTACCTTTCTTGTCTCCAATATTAAGCATAGGTGAAAAAAGGCTACTACCCAGTTCATTCTGCAGAGATTCCTTAGATCCCTGCTTCACACCACCACTCACACCACTTCTTTCCAGTGAAGTTCCCTCTAAGCTCTTGAATTGATTCCCAGCAGGCCTCTTTAGGTTAATGTATGCCCAACAAAACTCTTCATTGTCTCCTCCCTACCTCTGCCTCTTCTTTAACAATCTCTCAACTACAAGTTTAGGGTAGTTTATGAAGGGCTGACTAAACTTTGAAGCCCTACATGGGTGCCTGTGCTACAAATTCAGACTACCACACAGTAGAGGGTTGTGTTTGAGTCTGGCCAATAATTAAATGTACATCACTAACTTTATTGTTGCTCTGACAAGACAGGTATAGTTTATTTAGGCTCCTGGTGTCAGAAATGTTCAGTTCATGAACAACTAATACCATAGCTCTGGCCTGAGCTGAGGTTCAATGTCATGGAGGAAGGATGTGGTGGGGAAAAGTAGCTCCAGACAAGGTAATCAGAAGGAGAGAGGGTGGGGAAGAGAGAGAAATAATTTCATTTCATCAGGGACACAATACAAACCCCAAAGGAATGCTCTCAGGGTCATACTTTCCAACCACATCTACTTGCCGACAGTTTCCATGCAGATGATTCATGTAGTGAATTAATTCAATGTTTAACTCTATCATTATATAGTCATTTCACTGATAAGCATTCTTGCATCATCTCATACATGAGCTTTTGGGGGAAACATCATATCTAAAGTACAACAATAATAATAAAATAGAAAAATTAAAAAATTACATTGTAATACATTTTAGGTGATTGTTCTCTCTCTCTCTCTCTCTCTCTCTCTCTCTCTCTCTCTCTCTCACACACACACACACACACACACACACACACATTCTCTCTCAGTATCATATTATATTTTACTCACTATTCTCATTACTCTTGTGTTACTTAATCCTTGGAAATTGAAACCATGAATACCGGGAGAGGTGTGGATACTACTGTATCAAGAGAGACAGAGACACAGAGAGAATACAGCAAGGGACAAAGGACAATCATAATGGTAGCAAATAAAAGTGTTCAAAAGACTAGTGACAACTGTAGTTAAATGATCTTAAAACAGTGGACAGCCTCTCAGGGTGAAAATGAGCATCAGTTGTTTGTATTATTTATATAATGCCCCACAAGCAGTCGAATGTAAAGAGAATCAAAAGGAGACAGAAGCAAGGTGCAGAGGCAAAGTGGCAGAATAGCAGGATGGCAGAATGGCAGAAAGGCAAAAAGCCCTTGCCCAAGCTGTCAGCCTTATTCACATCAATAGTTTATATTAGGTCAATGGCATTAGAAGTACATTATTGTGCATTGTGTCATTAGGCAGGTTACAGAGTTAGTAATATCATGAAGCTTATTCCTCAGTTACATACTAGCAATGTGCAATGTTAGGAGCTTTGTGTAGCTCTCAAGAAAGTCCATTGTTTAAAGTTACTGTTATGTGGACAGGTTCAGGCACAGCATAGCATGGTGAAACATTGTGGTTGTCTAACAAGAGAGTTTCTTTATTTCCAGGATCTGAGTGCCTGAGGTCAAGGTCAAGGCTGATAAGACTCTAGCACAGAGCCTCCTCATGAAGGCAATTGCCACAACAGCTAGGCATTGCACATGCATTTGTTATCTTACTAGTTCCTGGGAGAAACTACAAAACATCCCAAATGTGGAAAACAGGGTGCCCCCAAGAGTTTGCTTACCAGAGGAGCACTGTCCTGTACATTTCCACAGTTAGATCCTTACAGTCTAATTAGAGATGAGTTTTCATATGGGAAGTTCTATGCATAGAGACCAAAACTCATGAAACTTCTGAAATAGACTGAAATGTCTGTGGGAAGCTGGGAGGGGCTTTCTTCCAGCCAGATGTCTCCTCCTGGGGTGGAGGCAGTACCTGTGGCCTGCCTTATTTCTCGTTGACCTTGCAGGGCCTGCAAGGGGGTCAAGGACTTCTCTCAGGCCACAGTGAACTTATTCAGCCCCAGGCTGTACTAAA